AGCGCGGGAGGCGGGGCGACCCGGCTTCCGGGGCCTCGCGCCGCCACGCGGGCGCGGGAGGGTGTTGGAGGGGGTGGCGCCCGACCGCAGCCCCCGCTCGGTGCTGCGGACCCGCGGGCCGGGGTGGGGGTGGCAGGGCGCGTGGGCCGGGAGAGCGGGCAACCAGCAGCTTGGTGCCGCCCTCGAGAGTGCTGCCAGGGCCGCCTCCTTCGTGCCCGCAGCCCAGGTTGGTACGTACTAGTGGCCCATTTCACAGGCTAGGAAAACAGACCCAAAAAGAGCAAGGGACATGCTCAGGGTCATATTGTGAATCAGCCAGAGTCAACTGTCCTCAACTCTGGCGGCAGGAGTCTGCCACCCACATCTTAACCAGAGCGGGAAGGAACAGAGTCAGGAACCCATCTCGGTGGCTCTACCTGTGGGCAGCACCCATCTCTCAGTCTCTCGGAACCTGACTCGTCAACTGTCAGGTGGAGGATAGTACCATCATCCCACAAGCAGCTACAGGTTCAAATCCTGACTTCCGACCCAGTGTGTGAACCTTGGGCAAAGCACTAACACTCTGAGCCTCAGATTTGAGGTCTGTTAAATGGGGATAATTATGGTTCCGCTTTTTATAGAGCCGTCGAGAGGGTTAAACGTCGGAAAGCATTTAGCACAGAGCCTGGCTGATTTTGCCAGGTCTCGTTAAATGGAATCCGTCATCTTGGAAGAGGAAAATATGCCTCCAAGCTTGTATGTTTACTCTCCCTCTACCGGGAAGCCTGCCCTGGGCGTTAGCGGCTCTGTTAACGTCTCGATTAGAGCCCTTATCGCCTGCCCGCCCACCCTGCGTGGTAATGAGCGTCGGGAGGTGTCAGGCCCCCGGGGCAACACCTCAGTGTGTTACCTCCCCGCCGCTCGGCAAGGTTTGCGCATGGACGGAAGCCCGGTACTTGGTGAACACTCGGTTTGAACAGGACGTCTGACCTGCCAGGAGTGCCCGCTGGGTTACGTCTCCAGGAGGCAAGGGACTGTGCAGCAGGGCATGGAGGTGAGCTAGCTGCCTCGTACGCCTAAGCGCGCAACTTCGCGGGTCTCTCCCCGTCCCCGTCTCAGGAAGTTGTGGGGGTGTGGTGTGGGCACGTGGGGTCTCAGCACCCACTGTCCCCAAATGTGCCGCTTCTTCTGGTGGACTTGACACCGGGTTTGGCTCCCAGTCCCAGCGTGTGGTCCTCAGTTTCCTCTAGGAGAGGAAGCCTTACATTCAACCCTTCAGGTCCCTACTGCTGTGGGGGAAGCCCGGCGGTATGTATGAGCCTAAGTGTGGAATGGGGTGCCTGGGACCCCTATCCTTCGCCGCCGGGAATCTCGTGCACTGAAGCTCGGGGACCTGCCCCTCTCCTTTCCAGGGCATGTCTGGCCTCCGGGCAGGCCCGGGGTGCCGCGCAGCTCTCTCCTCCCACCCACGGAGCATAGCTCCCCGGCCCTTCCTGGAGGCACTTTCCCCTCCCGCCGAGGGCCCCTCGGTCCGCCGGCTCCGGCCCACCCATTTCCTGTGCCGCCCCAACTCCGCCCCCACTCCGGGTGGAAAGTTTCTCTCCTCAAGATGGGCGGCTCCTTCTTCCTTCCCGGCCGGCCAGAAAAGCTCAAAGCGAGTGGGGAGGGGGGCTGGGCTCCGAGGCCGCCGGCCCTAGAGGGGAAGTGACTCGACCGCAGTCACACAGCTGCGGAGCCAGCCTCGGCCAGCCTGGCCCGTGCCCCAACCCCGCCCCGGGGAGGGAGGAGTCGCGCCCGCCACCGCCAAGCCTTCCTTTCACTCCGGGTCTCGGGCGCCACCTTCCGGCGGAGCACGGGGCCGCACCTGCCAGAAACACCGCTACATTCCCGCTCCAGAGCCAGGCAGTCAGAACACAACAGCGCTGAGAGAGCATTTATTTATCTACGCACCCAGGGGGCTGGCCCCTAAACTTAAATATCCAGCATGGGGCCTTGGCCATCCTGGCCGTGGGTGGATTTAGATTCGGGTCCTGGAGCCTTGGTCCGGGGCGGTGAAACCCAGGGACCAGAGATGAGCCCCTGAGCCAGCAGCTGCATTGAGCAGCAAAAGGTGAAAAGGAGATAGGAGCCAGGCACTCATCCCGATCCCGGGGAGGCCCCACCGCCATACTGAGGGTTGGCCAAGCTGGGGGTGCACACATGTGGGAGAAGTGGAGGCCCAGTGCCACTGGCAGAGGCTATAACCTAGGTGTCCACACCAGTGCCAGCTAATCCAAGACAGAGAGGGGGTTGGCAGTTTTGCCTCTGAGGGGCACAGGTCTTGCCCTCCTGTGAGGTGAGGCCGTATGGGAAAGCAGGCACTAGTCTGAGGACTTGCTGAGGGGTGAGTTTCTGAGCCTTTTACATGGGTGCATGCCCACCCACCCCACAACTCTTCAGAGGCTGATGTGGAAGGCATCCTGCAACCACTGGTCACGGGCATTGTGTGTCTGGGGCACAGTAAGGGGTGGCGGATCAGGGGGCAGGCTGGCATCAGGAGGCTCATCATCATCAGATAGGCCGGTGTCGGGTGGGTAGGAGCTGTCCGAGTGCAGAGAGGACGACAGGTCCTGGCATAAACTCAGGTCTTGACACAGGTGCTTGTAGTCCTGGATTGACTCATACAGGCCCCACAGCTGGCACAGCAGGGACATATCCAGCTGCCGCAGCCCCACCTGCAGACAACTGAGGGTGGGCTGGAGTTGGGGTCCAGGAGCCCCCAGTCCAGGCCACATCCCTAGCCAATCTTCCTGTACCTTTCTAAACGAATGTTTTTGTGGACATCAGACACCACCTGCAACCTGTGAAACTTTAGGCAAGTCACTGACCCTCATCTGTGAAATGGGGAACACACACATCCAGCAGAATGAAAACACTTAAAAATATATGGTAACTACTGCCATAACGGTAACTACTACTAATCATTGTTACCATAGCCCCTGTGACCCAACCGGCTTCTGCAGGTCCCCTGAGACCCAGGCCGCCCGCCCGGGTTCCGTGCCTCTGCGCTTCACCCCGCCCGGGACTCTCTTGTTTCGGGGCAGCCCTCCGCCCAGCCGGCCCGGTGCCCACCCACTCACCATCTCTTTGCGCAGCGCGGCTAGTGCCGAGTCGAGGTTGACCGGTCGACGAGGGCCGGCGGCGGGTCCCGCAT